ATAAACCTATTGGCTATAAACACTATGTTATACATGACTCAGTGGTTTTTGTGAAATGGAATTACATTTATTTTCATGAGATTTGAATGAATTTTGATAATTGTTTAGAAAATTGATTTCTGTTGAGATTTCCTGTCACTTGACAATATTTTCTTGTCTTAGTTTTGCAAAGTAAGAATCACTTTGTGACACTCATCTAGTTTAACTTGTTCTGGTCTTATGGTCACAATAAGAAGAGAGAGAGTTTAGTTTGATCTTGTGCTTAGTTTGCTGGGCAGTATCATAATAGTTTTCTCATTTTACTATTTGAAAACAATGAGTATGATTTCATAATGGCCAACTAAAGATTGAATTGCCCCTGACAACCATATTGGGTTTTTGAATTTTCACTGTGGACCAGGAAAGCTTATATAACTTTTGAGCTTGAAGTGAAAAGATTGAAGTTGCAAACCTTTTCATATGTGATTCGTCATTTTAAAACTCTAGGATTCTGTTATTGCCATATTTCATATGTTGCTTGTACAAAATTATTATTCTTAGTAATGATTGTTTCCCTGTCTCAGTGTAGAAGTGCCTGTGTTTTTATTTATTGTTCAGATCAAAGATGGAAACATTTTCTTAAATATATTTTGTGTAATATTTTATTTGTATACAGTGTTGTTGATGAAATATTTAATTAGAGCATGGTATTTTCAGTGTTAAATTGTAACATATTTTAAATAAAGCTGTTATTTTTGAATTTTAAAATTTGCTTTTTGGAGTATGAACTACTAGAGTTGATAAAATTCTGCCAAACTATTGCTTATATGTACTATCTCATAACATGCTTTCTTGATATAATTTTGTTTTTATAAAGATGAGGATTTTTATTAAATGTAATACTGGAAACTAAAAAAAATGGGAATAACGTCAGTGTATTTAAAAAAATTCACATATTTAATGGGTATCTCTATGTTCTATTCACTAGGAATTTAAGTGTGAGCAGAAAATGAATATAGTTACTTGTCTTCGTGGGCCCTACAGTTTAATGGGAGAGATAGATATCAACTAAAGCTACAAATATAATCATAATCAGATGTAAAATTAGTGACAAATGTTGACAAAGACTNGAGTTGATAAAATTCTGCCAAACTATTGCTTATATGTACTATCTCATAACATGCTTTCTTGATATAATTTTGTTTTTATAAAGATGAGGATTTTTATTAAATGTAATACTGGAAACTAAAAAAAATGGGAATAACGTCAGTGTATTTAAAAAAATTCACATATTTAATGGGTATCTCTATGTTCTATTCACTAGGAATTTAAGTGTGAGCAGAAAATGAATATAGTTACTTGTCTTCGTGGGCCCTACAGTTTAATGGGAGAGATAGATATCAACTAAAGCTACAAATATAATCATAATCAGATGTAAAATTAGTGACAAATGTTGACAAAGACTATGAATTAAAGGTTACCCTCATGGCTCATATCAGTTAACTTGGCCCCATCTTAGTGAGTCAGGGTAGGCTTCTCTGGGGAAAGATATTTGAATTGAGACAGGAGGATAAATAGGAATTAATTAGGCAAAGGTAAGGGAGGAGAAAGAAAATCTAGGCAAAGATCTCTTTAGGTGGGAAGAGCTTGATCTATTCCAGGAACTCAAGAAGGTCTTCAAAACTGGAGCTCTGTAAGAGAGGGAGAAAATGATGTGGGATGAAGCTGGAGTTCTGGAAGTGATGCTGGAGGAAGCGTCCAGCCCAATAGCTGGCTTCAATCCACCCCATCCTCTTACCAGGTTCTTGACTCTGCCACAGGAAAGAATTCAAGAGCAGAGTTACAGTAGAAAGTGAGAACAGGTTTAATATAATGAAGGAGCAATACAGATTTCACAGAGAGAGTGCAGCCTAGCTCCAGAGACTGAACAGGTCCCACACCAAGTTTAATATAAGAGTAAGAAATACACAGTTAAAGTTCAGTACAGAGTGCAGACTGGCTCAAGACAGTGAGCAGCCACCTGCTAAAACTAAGCTTAACACAAAAGTAAAGCATACACACCTCAGCAAGCAAAGTACAGGTTGGCCGCAGGAAAGTAAGCAACAACTTGCTGAAAGTTTGATACAAAAAGAAAGAAATACGCACTCCACAGGCAGAGTGCAGGCTGGCTTTAGGAGAGTGAGCAACAGTCCAGCATTCTGCTGGGATTCAGCTCTTATAGTTTTGCTGTCTAATGAATATTCAGTTAAGTGGGTGGTTCCCTGTTAGGTAACATAATCTTGAACATGCTCAGTTGGTCTCTTCTTGGAGCATGTTCATTGGTCAAATCCTATCACATGCACCAAACACCTTCAAGAATATTCAGTGCTCTTTAGCACCCCAAGTGGAGGTCATTCAGCTACAAGGGTTATTTAACTCTTCTTTACTGAGCATGCCCAGCCACTGGGTTTGCATAAGCCAGCCCCTTTTGGTCTCATTTTCACCGGTAGGTGCCGAAAATAGGTCTAACTAGAAACAATAACTTTTTGTTACTAAGGGGCCTGAAACCTTGGAGAATTGTTTGAAACCCAGAGGTGTGTCTTTTAATCCAAACCCGGGGAAACTGAGTACCTCTTATCTCAGAAGAACCAAACCATGTGAAGTTTTATGGGTCATGTTAAGAATGTTGCCCTTTGTCTTAAGAGCTGTGAAAAGTTTTAAGTGGGGGTCAGGATGTGGTGGCAGAATCAGATTTGGATTTTAAATAGTATCAATTTGGGTGAATTGTATTGGAGGGGGGCCAATTAGCTGTGAGGAGACCAATTAGAAGATTATGACAGTAGTTCAGCAGAGAAATGATTCCAGATTAGGGTGGTAGCAGTGGAGATGGAGAAAAGTGAATGGATTTTAAAAATGCTTTGAAAGGAAAATTGAAGGAACTTGGGGAAGGATGAGATGTGGAACACAAGCAAGTCATCCAAGCTGATTCTCAGGTCTCTGCCATGAGCAGCTTAGTAGATGGAGATATACTATTTACAAAATAGTATAGACTGGAAGAGGACCAGATCTAGGGAGTGGAAAGCGTGGGTTTGATATTGGACTTGTTGAATTTGAGATTCTGAAAGTCATCTAAGTGGAGGTGGCTAGTAAGCTGCAACTCAGGAAATCTCTGAGTTAGAGATATGCATTTGAGTGATTGCACATAGATGGCAATTTGTGCCATGTGTTAAAAATCACCTTGGTGGAGAGCATAGGATGAAAAGAGGGCATTGGTGTGCTGATAAATATTCAATAACAAGCTGGACTTATCGGGGGGTGGAGCTGCAGGGAGGTTCTGATATGTAGCATTTGCTGATTTTCGTGATGTAAATATTCCTGATTTGGCTGTTTTAAAGCTACTAATGGTTTAACAACTGGATCAAAACATTCCTGAAAATTGAATAATTAGCTCT